TGATTGCTCCCTCTGTGTATTTAAGCCCTGTGTTTCTTAGTGTCTGTGTCGCGATCTACCGTTTACTTTGCTGTGTGTTTTGCCTGTCCACCGGTGTAAATTTATTTTGAGTTTTTTCCAGTTATGTTATGTTTGAGTTCAGCATTAAAGCTGTTTTTGTTTAAGTTCTGTCTCCGGAGTCTGCATCTTGGGTCCTATTCCTGCCTGCACACAGCCACACCCAACATAAGTCAATGTTAAAAAAAAAAAAAACTAAACATTTAACTGAAAATGGTCAGGTACAAGGACTGGATTAAAAATGAGTGCAAAAGCATTGGAAGACCTTTGGAAAGCCTGGATAACTATTGCTCAAGACCCCTTAAAAATGCCGAGAAAGTTTGGATTCTTAAAATATAAAGAAAAAAGGGCAGTTTCACAAAACTGTTTCTTTTTCACAATAATGCTTATAGATTGTACTGTACAGACACCTGTCTTCTATTAGTCCTCCCTTTTGCAAAAAAAAAAAGCACAGTTCCCAAATGTCAAACTATTCCTTCTGCTTTATTCACACAAGCATGCATAATCACAAATCAGATGCACAAGTGTAGTAGCAGGATTGAAGAACTTACTTGATGTTGTCCAGACACCCAGAGTCTGGTTTGAGAATGGCCGTATGATGGAACATCTTATAAAGAGCGATGCCGAGGAAGATTACATTCAGCTGAAACACACAGACATAAAATCACACAAGGTAATTTTCTGCAGCAAGTAGCCTAATTAAAGACACAATGTCACCACAGCACTCACACAAAGAGTGATTCTTTATTTGCCTCTTCAACAGTAATTGGCTTAGGGACACCCTATCAGGCCCTCAATCAACAAGCCTTTATGTTCTCAAAATACAGCAGCTTGAACATCAGGGAAAATTTCAGCAGTTCGGGATCATTGTAACAATGGTAACCCAATTCTCATAGATGTGTTCTGTTCTATTGGAGTACTAATGCATAAAGAGGGTGGTTTAATAATGACTGTCTGAAGCGATACACTGGGTCTCAGAGGCTGTATACATTACCACTAGGTGTGATGTCATAACAGTGCAGTCCCACCTGAACTGCTCCCCACATGCACGTCCTGCAAGATCTGTGATAGCCTGCCTGACATTTCAAAAATGAGTACAGTGGATTGGTTCACAGGCTACTGGGAATACGTCTCATTGCTTTAAATGTCTTTGTATGTGTGTCTGCTTGATCATCAAACTCTATTCCTGTTGTAGTTTACTTGTTCGAGATAGGATGCCTGTTCCTGCTTCTCTGAACATTTTGATGACTGATGAAACATCAATCATTGGCATTGCTCAAACTTCCCGGGAGACTCTGTTCTCCAGTTTAATGTTCAATTTGGTGGCAAAGCAATAAAACAGCTAGATCAGGAGGAAAAACAGCACACAAATGAGTGCCTAATAGCAACATAACCTTGCTGAGTTTTTATCATAATCTGTGTGACGCACGGCGGCTTGCTCTCCATATCCCCTTCGAAGATTTCCAGGTTGCAGGAGTACGTGCCCGCCTGAGAGTTAATCCATGAATGGGAGTTATTAAGTTGACATATAGAGTTGCTTCCACTTTTACTTGCACTTCTGAGGAGCTCAGGCAAGCCTTGTAGGAGATTAACAAATACCTTAATGTGAGCCATCACTGCTGCACGAACATCTATAGATCTACCTACTCGTAGATGAAGTGCTAAGTCAAGGGTGTGTGAGTATCCACGTGTGTCCATCTCACCATAATGATGAGTGTAGCAGGGCCTATGAAGCTCCAGATAAAGTAAGTATCCAATCGCAGCCAGCACCTAGAGACAGGGAGAGACGGAGACAGAGAGAGACGTCACGCACGAGGGACGCTGGGAAGAATAAAGGGGTTAAAAAAACATGTTCTTTAGATGGATGTAGGGTAGCAATCAGAGGATAGGACATGCATCACGGTTTCACACATATAATCACTGACAGGACGCAAGCTGGAGAAAAAAAAAGGAGCACATTATGACACGCAGTATATCAAATGCATCACGACAGAGCGAGGACAAAACAGAACTGGGGTGGATGTAAAAAGTGAAAGAGATGAAGAACAGGAAGAAAGGTGTTGCAAGATGGAGGAAAATAGCCTATACACACACCTCGAACATACATCACGCACAGAGGGGGGAGACAGCGAGGGATAAGCACCTGTGATAAATAAAGCTTTACTTCTCCCTAAGGGCACAGATATATGACATGGCCACATCCTGCAGTCGCAAAAATATGACATGACTGTGTTCATTTGAATACTGAGTTATGGATGCAGACCTCATACGAGGCTATTTATGGAGTCTGCGGATGGCTGTGCTGAGGTTAAAGGAGAAAGGAGGGACACAAGTGCATGCACATTCAGTGTGTATATGCACACAAGCACACTTTCAGAAGACACGCATGAACATATAACCACAAACACACACACACACATACAATCATTTTGGACCACAAGGTTAGGATTGGTTGTAAAAGATATACTGCTGTATGCAAAATTATATAACCCCAAAACACCTTGACTCATCAACTGCAGCAAGCAGGGGAAGGAGAAGAAGAAAAAAAGAGTGCCCTCCACTGAGGTCAGACCCAACTAGTTGCCGAAAAAGGTGCCAGAGAAAAACGGCTGGAGCAAAATGGCCAACTGATTCATGACCAGCTGCTTTTGAATTATTAATCTTTCAATTTCCACCACATTAGAGAACCCTCCATTATGGGTCCCTGACTGTGTCACAGTATCCTCCATTAGGGCTCCTTTGCTAACTCGTAGCCACCTTCATTACGGTACATGAATGAGACTCAGTGCCACTGGCTACTGTGAAGAAGAACAGTCTGTGTTATGTGACAAGGTGACACAGCAGGAATGGCAGATGATATTTTCAAAGGTTTTGTCTCAATGTGTTATGTCAAAAATGATACACAGTGTCATTTTCAAGCCTGGGCTGATAAATGGATCGTGTAAGTTCGTTTCTGCTTTTTAAAAATTTCCAATTTCATTTACTTTTCAAATCCACAAGGCCCATGGGGCACGAGGACATGACGAGCAAGAGCATTAATGGCCTGGATGCAACATTAGAAAAGAAAATATCGATATATTCATGCATTTATTTTTGGTTATGTGCACCTTTTACATATAAGCTCTGCTTCATTGTTCCAAAATATTTCACATCATTTTGCATTTAAAGTCACAGCAGTTGTCTCAGGTCCTTTACGACACTCTGTTTGTGATTATTCACCCAAAGCTTGGCACTGAGACTCTCATGTTTTAATGATCATCAGGCAATGAAATATTGATCTAAGTGGCATGAGGACTGGTGTGGCTTGATGGTTAAACACTGCTAAATTCAACCCTTCCCTCGTCTTTCAGAGCTGGTCGAGTAGAGTGTAGCTTGTGGAAAGCTGCAATGTCAGAACGACAAAAGGTCCCCAAATGACCAGCGACTGGGAGCATTTTAGAAGGTGAATCATTTATATCTATAACCACACGTCATTTTTCACCCTCAACACGGAGCGACTCATTTATAAGCAGCTGAGGGATGAAACACCTCTAAAGCTGTAGCCTTTCATTGCAAAGTCCACATTGTTAGTGTTTAGTCTTATGATTTGACTGGAGAACAGGTTATGAACATGACTGTGCCTTATATATATTATATATGCAATATACATTTCTTATGCATATGTACTTAATAATTAGAATGTTGGCCTTTTTTCAGAGTCAAAGCATGAATGAAGTGTGCAGGTGAAACTCTTACGTTCACTCTCTTTGAATCTGTAGTTTGTGTATTAAGCCTGTAATGAGATGCTGCCTGTCCTTTCTTGGATTCATCCTTTTTCTAGGGTTATACAAGTCAAGCATGCACAGATACGTTACCTTGTGCTTTTAATGTATGGGCTTATCTTCCACTTCTCTTCTCCAGAGAAGCTGGTTTTATTTTAATGCGCAAGCGTAAAGCCAGTGTGGATGTGTGAACATCCTGACACACAACTCCATTTTTTCCTATCCCATCCCTCCATTCTCACACTTAAAGCAGTTTTTTTTTCTCCCTCGGCATACTCCACTGTACACCCCCTCCTTCTGCCCCGCCTGTTAAATCCTTCCATATTCACACATTGTTGCTGCCATGCTCATGCAGGCACTCTGTGGTGCATCCTCCCCCTGCGTGTCCCCAATACTTCTCTACCACTCTCCATCCTTCTTTGCCTCTCTCTCTCCACTCGTTCTCTCTGTATTGACTCTTCAGAAGTGCCACAGCTTGTTGAGTCCACTGTGGCAAACGCAGCCAAAATGACAGCAGGCACTCCAGCCTCCCTCCCTTTCCCTCCCTTGCCCCGTCATCCATCCTTCCTTCACGCATTCTTCAGCAGCATCCTTACACTCGGTCGGTGCCGTAGCTCCTATAGTCCACAGCAGCGGAGACGGCCACTATGACAGCAGGTACTCCATATCCTGCCAGGTAGAAGTACTTAGTCCTGGAGTGTTCGCTCTCAAACACCTCTACCAGCATGATGTAGAGCTGTACCCCTTCCAGGAACATCCAGGTGAACGCTGCCAAGAAGAAGAAATGGAGCAGGGCCGCAAAGACTGCGCAGACAATCTGGTGAGGCAAATAAAGGATTGAGAGGGTTTAAAAATACAGTAACATTAAACTCAGGAAATATTTATTGTGCTGGACACTTGCACTGATGAGGCAGAAAAATAAAGATGCAAACAGTACAGGCAGTAAGGGTATGAGTCAGATTTAGAAAACAATAATGTATCATATTCAGTTAAGGAAGAAAACGTAAGTGATTAAATATTGGACAGCCACTGCTTGAACAGGCAAGGCAGGGGATAGAATAAGGCAACGTGAAATAGAAGTCACAATCATAGTGTACTATGACAGAAAATTTCAGGTGGCAGAATGACAAAAAAAGTAAAAAATCACTTCAAAATAGCAATATTATTGGAGACCCCCCCTCGCACTTCACTCACAGTCTACAATCTACAAGTCGTCCAGGAAGATAAATGAGAAAATATAAGTGACATGTTAGCGCCGCAGCCCGTGCTGATTGACCACATTTCAAAGAGATGTAGCGAAGCACTTTCAAAGGGGGCTGACAATGAGTTGTTGAGGAGGGCGAATTACTTGCCAGCGCTGTTGAAAATACAGTATGATTTTTGTCAATGCCAAAGATGAACAAAATAAGTGGAACTGCTGCAAAAATGACTCAGCATCTTGGTTTGAAAGAGACAAATGAAAAATCACATAAAAGTTGACAGATTTCGGAGCTTGAAAAAGAAAAAAAAAGCCCATAACTAACTTCGGTTTGGATGCGGAATAGTTGTGAAAACATACAGCTTTTTTACGCTTTTACCAATGCAGAACTAAATGTTTTACATACGATAAACACTGTGCTTGTTAACATACTTCCTAGAGAATTGCAATTATCAAACACAAAACACAAATTAGAACGTTTTGCACCTACCAGAACTAACTCTGCGTTTTATACACTGAAAGTGAGTAAATCTATTTTAAATGACGTGCCAGTGAACAGTGACGGACGAAAGACATGTAAGTCTTAGAGTGATAGATGAAAACCCTGCGAGAGACTCTGCTCATTCCAAAGAAGAGAAGAAAAAACACAGAGGTGCAAAGAATGTGAATAAAAAAACAAAAGCCAGGGATCAAACCTAAAAAGACATTAATAATTTTGGCAATTCGATGGCAAAGAAAGAGTGTTGATTAAGAAAAAGAAAGGTGCAAAACGAATGAGCGCTGAAACTTGGTCAATCATGCCAATGTTCTAATCTAAAGAGTCACTCCTAAATCACTCAGTGGAAGCGCTAACAGACAGACTTTTATAATAGAGGAGTTTGCAACGAGAGACAATTACCTAATGTCTGAGAGACAATGAGTTTAGGGGGTGAGGGAGTCACTCATTTCCATTTCTGATGATCGCAGAGTGTAGCTTTCACAGGCAAAGGCGCACACATGCATGCACACACAGGTAGAAAAAAAAAGTGGCTGCTTATGCAAAGTCATTTAGTTTTCCTGCTGGAATTACTGGATTAACCGGCTTCGAGCTAAGTGATGCTGAAGATGTTAATGGAGGTCACGAATAGTCACCGGTAATTAACGGGAGAACAACACGCAAATACAGCAGCACAAATACATGCAAAAAAAAAAAAAACCCCACAAAAACAAAACAACATGATCCCTCCCACACAAACACACAGACAAAGAGAAACGCACAAGCGCCACGATCAAAACGCGCTCTCCATCCAATTTGCTTTGTCTCTTCATTTACAGTGAGAAGGTTTTCTCACTGAAAGCTCAGCAGGATGCAAATGCTTCAAGGTGTTCTGAGGCTTCTTGTATACTATGGGGGAGGTAAAGGATACAGCCTTGAGCCTTAACTTACAGAGAGAAGTGGTGAAAAAGCTCGTCCTTTCCTGTGTGTTGATTATTATTTAGGTGTCCTTGTGCAGAGATAATAAAGGCGAGAATCTCCTCTCAGAATCTGTCCCATAAGATTTGTGTGCAAAACGCTTGTACCCAAGTGAGGTTTAAAGTTCTAATCCATGACTGGCGTACTGAATGCGGACCATATGGATTATACATCTTGGGCTATGATTGGAATGCACACCATGTGGATCCCCCACTGTTGAGCCAAAAAACTGCACTGCACTGAATTCCTTCAGGGATAGAGTTTGATTGGTTGCTTAAGTGATACGCAAAGAAAATGCTTCGCAAATTGTGTCTCATGATTTTAAAAAGCCTCCACGCTCTCGAGGGAAGGGCTATTTGTTCTGAGTGTCACAAGGACTTGTGCAGTTAATGATGCATTTGTTGTTCTGAAAATGCACATTTCTATTCCACATGCAGAAAAACACAATGATGTTGCAAATGACACTACATTTGACAAACGTACCACTGCGACCAATTAGGCTAGAGCTACCATTACGCCTGTGGAGAGTAGAACCATTCTTAAAATAGTATATAGAGCATATTCAATAAGTTAGCACTTTTGCCCACAAAGATGTGACTTCATGAAAAGCTTCTATATAAATGTTTACCTGGATCGCAGAAATCTGTTTAAAATAATTCCCAGCTTTGCTCTAGATGTTTCACTTGGACTAGGCTGTCTCTGAGCCTGGTCGAGAGCAGATAACTGCTAACTAGTCAGTAATGCTTAGGTTTAATTTTACTAAACACATCTATAATAATGAGATAATTAGTAATAACTAAAATTATAATATATTCTATCTTATATCGTACATAAATTCTGCTTCACTCAGTCTCAGGGGTATTTGACAAATACGAATTGCCTACTTATAAGGAGGGAAAATAAAGAAAATACATAACACCACTTGACCAGAACTTTCAGTGTCAAGAGTAATTTTTTCAAAATAGCCATCTTTAATGGTCTTTATTTTACCTTGCTTTTGTACAAGGTAACTCTACTGTTGGGTACTGATGCATACAGACTGAGGTCACAGCTGAAATCCAACCGCAATGAGGTGTTAATCGAAAGCAGTCTGAACTCATATTCACAAATCGGCCTCATATGAGCTGCATAAGTTTTAACGCATTATATGGCAGATCTTTGTGGGCGCTCTTTGCATTGTAAATCATGGCTGACTATGAATGGATTGCAAAGCAGGCAAATTAGGTTCTTTTTACATACGCACAAGTACATACATGATTTTGATGATGGGATTACTTAACATGTTGAAGAAAAAATAAATACATTTAATTATGCAAATTCTATTACATAGAATAGTAAGAATATTGTTTTGTTTCACAATCACTATGAGAAATGACGGCGTTGATTTATTCCAAAGATCACTGTTACTGTACAACATCTCCTGTTTTATTCAGTAGTAGCACAAGTGTGGTAAACCACTGACACAAAGTTAATAAACAGTCTGATGATTTGTGGTATTGGTCAGTGGATAGTTATGCCAACATGTGCCGTGGACTTGTCTGAATTTATGGTTAAAGTAATGTTCTTCCATACGCCGCGTATACTGCACACACTCGCATAAGCTCACACAGGGGAACTGGACCCTCACCGGCTGGTCGGCCTTGTTGATCCCATACAGAAACAGAGACTCAGCGATGAAGAGGCTGATGCAGAGGTTCTTGTGAATGGTGTTGCGATCGCTCTGAAGCCCTCTGAAGAAGCAGAAGGTGAAGATGCAGATAAGCAGGCAAACCAGTGACAACAGGATGCCCACCCACGTGATGACATCCAGGAGCACGTCGTGCATGCTGTCTGTTTTCTGTGAAATGTGCAAACAGAGAGACAAGTTTAAGTTGGTAATTCAATAATAACAATGTGATTTACAGCTACTTTAGCTATGCATAGCCTTGGTATGCTAACATCATACATGAGTCATACTGTTGTAAGGTGAAACAAACTGTAGGAGCAGACAGTTAAATCCCCTCCCCCCCCCACCCCTGGCTTATGTGAGTCTGGCTGTGTGTCGTTGAGCGTTCAGGGCCACAGCGTTACGCTGTGTTGCACAGGTGTGCTGGCTCTATCCATCAGTGTCCTGCAAGCTGGCAGGTAGAGCAATGTTCAACCTAGCACTGTTGTGATGGATCTACTGCTCAGACCCTCACACTGCGTTCACACAGAGCAGCCGAGCTGGCTCTGACCATGACCCCTTTGGAAGTAACACACATCCTAGCCCACGGGGAGGGAATAGGTGTCGCGCAATATCCAGAGTTACAAGGGCTGATTTGTGTAAAGAAACTTGGTCTTAACATAACAAAAGAGAGAGAGAGACAAAAAGTACTTATCCCACACATGGCGGGAGAATAATGCTTTTATTAACCACCCACTAAGGCTCATGGATATCTAAAAAAACCCAAAACAAAACCAAAATCTGAAAACAAAAACATGTTTTCACTGTCTGATCAGTCAAGCATCACTTTTAGAATGAAAATAAGACCTGAAGCTTATTTTTGTATCTGCTTTAGTAATCCAGAACTCTGAGATGTTTGAAGTACATTTTCCCCCTCAAATCAATGTCATCATGCAGCTTGACAAATCAATTGTAAAGATTTTCCCTGCCAACGTGGTTATTCAGACTCCAAAGATTCATAATTTACTTTTCAGATGTTGTGGTCTGTCTCTCTTCTTTTCTTCCTCTCCTTCTATTTTCAGAATATGTTGACCAACCACTGCTAATCAAATAATAAATAACTGACCCATAGATATTGCCCACCCCCTTCTGGCATGCACAAGCAGAGAAAAATGCCTACCTTGACCTCCACGTGGGCCATGAGCACTGCAAAGCTGGTAAGGTGGGTGCAGGAGCAGCTGGTGTGTGTACGATTGGTGGCCAGCAGACGACAGTCCTGCGTAGACCAGAATCCCGTCATGGTGCGCTTGGAGTAGCTCCAGAATGAACAGTTGGGATTGAAATTCTTTTCTGAATGCTGGAAGATGAGAGAGAGAGAAAGAGAGGCAGAGTGTGATTGAGAGAAACCCAGACAGACAGGAAGGAACTGAGAGACAAAAAAGCAGGAGGGTTGGGAGAACACGGGGACGCAGAATAGATACTCGGTCATGGGTAGGTGGGAGGCAGAAAGCATGGAGTGGTCGGTGAGCCAAAAAAAGTGAGAAACTGGTGGGAGGAATTGGTGGAAAAAGGATGTAGAGGAAGAAACACAGAGACAGAGTCAAATACACACAGCAACAAAACAACAAACAGAAGGGACAGAATGTGAGATTGCAGCAACAAATAAACATAGAGGCATGAGAGGAGGTGACAGAGCTGCGTCCATGCTTGTTGTGTGAGATTCTGGAGTGTAGGAGCTGTTTGTGTTGTGTAAACTGATGAAGCTGTGTGCGTTGGGTTGGTAAAGCTACTTTCAAAAAGAGCAAGAGAAACAGTGAGGATTTTTGTTTTTTACTGCCAACTAGCTGGATCACCAACTGGATAAGTATTTGCTTTTTGGATGCGAAACACAAAATAAAACCGTGTTACTGACCACCCTAATTCATACTTATGAAATTCTTATAAAGTTATGTGGAATTCAGTCTGCAGTAATTGCTAATGTTATGATTTGGTCATTTGGGGCAAGTCAACGCGAGTCGAGCCAAGTTAGTACACAAGTGATCAAAAATGGCTGCAAGACATTTCGATGTTTGAACATCATCCCGCAATGACACAGAAACAACGTTTTAATATTTGAGCCTTTCCAGGGTTTCTATACATCATGTTTTTGTCTGAATCAGGCCCCAGTTTCATGCCTTATGTCTTTTGCTCTGGTTACTACTACTATTACTGCTACTATATACTGTCATTAAATGCAGGAAGTTTGGACCCAAATGCATACTGCAGAGGTGAACTAGAGGTTAATAAAAAACCAGCCTTTATTCAAACTATTTTAGTCATATAGTCAGGGCTGGATCAGCTAACCCTGAGTCACAGACCCAGGAACATGCAATATGCAATGATTTAATACGGAAGTCTGAAAACAACTAGTTTTCTTCAGTTCTTTTTAGACTTCCCTCACTTTCTGTGGAATTATGCACTAAACTAAACTAAAGTACCGAACTAGATCTCTTTTTGGCTTCATAAGTGCCATAACTCTTTGTTTTGTCTACAGATTCAACGAGGAGCTGGTACATTACTCTGAGATTTTGGTCCATGCTGACATCACAGCATCATCCAGTCGCTGCGGATTTGTCATCTGCACATCCATTATTCAAAGCTCTGAAAGGCGCTGGAGTAAAATCTGGTGATTGTGGATTGTCATGTTCAAGAAATTAGTTTGAGGTGATTTGAGTTTTGTAACAAAGCGTGTTATCCTGCTGGAAGCAGTGATCAGAAGATGAGTACACTGTGGTCATGAAGGGATGGATGTAGTCAGCAACAATACTCAGTTAGGCTGTGGCATTTAAAATGATGCTCAACTGGAGCTAAGGGGGGCTAAAGTGTGCAAGAAATGATCCCCCACACAATTACATCACCGCTAGCCTGAACCGCTGATACAAGGCAGGATGCATTTTATGTTGCTTACACCAACCCATACTATCTAAATGTACTGGCAGAAATTGACATTTGGCAATATTTTCACAGTGTTCTCTTATCCAATTTTGCCTGAGCCTGTGTTTTTGTGTTCTCAGCTGACAGGTGTGGTGTTCTTCTGTTGCTGTAGCAGCAGGACATTTTCACCCAGAGAATTGCTGCTTACTGGATATTTTCTCCTTTTTGGACCTTTGTCTGTGAACTCTAGTGATGGCTATGTGGAGAAATCCCAGTAGATCAGCAGTTTCTGAAATTCTCAGAAGCCCGCCTGGCACCAACAGCCATGCCACGTTCAACGTCTAAGTCACTTTTCTTCTGCTCCATTCTGATGTTCAGTTTGAACCGCAGCAGACCGGCTTGATCAAACCATGTAACTGGCTCATTAGATATTTGCGTTAATGAGCAGCTAAACAAGTGGTCCTGATAAAGCATCCAGGGAATATTTTTGATTCCTCTTTTAAAGCCTAACCTGCACTTATCCATTTTATACTCTTGTTACCTGTACCTTTAAGCAAGTATGTTGTTGACCTCACCTACTTGCTGAGTGGTTGTTGTTCCTCATTGCTCATCTTTTCACTCTTCACTTTCCTCTTACCCCAACTGATAAAGGCAGACAGCCGCCCACCCTAAGTCTGGTTCTGTCGCAGGTTTCTTCCTGCTAAAAATATTTCTTTTTTTCCTCCCATATTGGAGAACTGCAGGGTCTCTCTGCAAATATTGTCAGTCTCGACCTTAAAATGACCTTTATATGACGTATGATTTGGCATTACATGAATAAAGTAGAATTGACTGGAAATAAATCTTTTCTTTTTTTTTAATTGCTTAAGTCTGTAGGTTGAAGCAAACATTACTCAAATCGGAGTAAGTAGTCAATTTTCCGGTAAGTGTTTCCAGCTGTGGTCAGTCAGAATTTACAGCACCAGAACACTATACATGCGAAACTTTGATGGCGTAAACTACATTTCTCATATTGCTTCCTGTAAAGCAACACTTTTTGGCACAACAGTGGATTTCTATGGAACAGAGGAATTAAGATTTTAAACTTCTTCAATTTCTAGCTGCTTTTGGTCTTTTGTGAAATCTTTTTTTTTTTACTCACCTGTAGATGTTTGACAGTGAAGACCACAGGCTCTGACAGGTAAACCTTATTGCTCTCCTTGTTAATGGATGCGGTGATGACCGGGGAGTTGACGATAACAGAGTAATTAGGATAGATGGCATCGCTGCTCAGTCTGACGCTGGCGTTCTCCGTGGAGAGGTAGGAGCCCAAGTTCTTGTACATGACAAACACCATCCTGATCTCACCTGTACGAAAGGGACACGAATAGTGCACTCGATAATTGTTGTAAAGCAATGATGACAGAAATTTGACACTTCAAGTGGGTGAGAAAAGAAGATTGAGAGGCACAGAGAGACAGAGATCACAGTGAGAGTAAGTGCAAGGAGGGAAACATGCGATTTCTCTGCTACCATTTCTGCCATGCTGTTTCAGAGTGCTGGCTGACAGCTGGATGGAGTTTCCGTGTTGTTCCGACTGAGGGAATGTCAGGTCTGCGAGGTTCCCATCCGTGCTCAGCCTGGCTACTTCCAGCACTGAAATACGTACACACAAGCACACATGCACACAAAACACGCACGCCCTAATGGTAAGTTATAGCATAGCGCATTACATCAGATTTGTTTTGCAGACTCTTGTAATAACCATGTTTTCTCACTAAGTGCTTCACAGCACAGCACTGGCATGAGTCCCGAAACAGTTTCAAGCTTCTCCTAAACATATCAAAGTGAAATAATGTACATTTTTTCCCTGCTAAAATAGGTAACAATGTCTCCAGGCAACTGCTCCAGCACTTTGAGGTAGATTATCCGGCCTCCTCTGTATTGTAGGAATTATTTCAGCGTCCAGGTTCGTTAGCACATTCCTGATTACAGCTGTGTAATGTATTAGATAAAGTTTCTAATTAAGAACTAATTATACCTTTGGTGTGTTGCTATCTTGTGTTTCTGAGCAAATTGGTGATTTAGACTAATGCTTTCATGGTAAAAGAAAAAAAAAGTCCTACCTCTCTGATCAAATAAACAACACAAGGACATCTCTGATGGAGATGAAGGTAAAAATGGGAGGCAGGGTGGGATAAAAGGTGGAAAAGGCAGACAGACGAAGAGGTCGTGGAGGAGTGGTTTAGAGAGGTAAAAAAGAGGGTAATCAGAGGAGCCGAATGGATGAGATAAGCAGATACACTTAAAGGAGAGGACTGGAGTAGAGACAGAAAGAAGACTATGTTCTCTCTCAGGCATACGATAGATAAGGCTTTACAGGCAAGAGATACTAACGTATAGAAACGAGCAAATGGAGGATGAGTGAGGAAGATGGACATGAGCATAGACGTGGGTATGCATAAAGAAAGAGAAACATTGGCTGAGACACCCCCCACCACCACTTCCACATGAGCTACGTCGACCCACCCACACGCATGCATACACATGTACACACGCATCCACACCCACACACATCAGCGGGGTATCAAAACACGCTGAGTCTAATCTAATTAAAGCATCCTTGTCAAGACAATCCTCCTCCTAAGAAACACACTTGTTCATTATCGTTATCACACGCGCACGCTGTTACCGCTGCGTTATCCTTTCAAATCACTGTTTTGGTTCTAATAATAACACTATTTATTCATCTGCTTAATACTGTGGCTCATAGTCGCACGCACACAATCTAACACAATAATATCACTTACAGTAGCTGCTGTGGCTCCTTTAAAATGCGTCAAATAATTTATTCTTGTCACTCACTCTCATCTCAAAGACTTGAGAAAAGAAAAAAAAGGAGGAGGGAGCTTAAAAAGTGCACGGGAGAAAGCGGAGGAGAAAAGACTCAGAGAGAGCAGTGAGGATGAAGGGAGAGAACGAGAGAAATGACAGGCTGGTTATGAATAAAGGGGAGAGATAATCATGGTGGATCTGCCCACTGGATTAGCTGCGAGGGAAGATTAACAACACAAAAAAAGCAGAAATTTTGCAGGAAAAAGATCACTTCCTGTTTTTTAAGTTCCTCGGAGAGGCAGTAGCCTACATCTCCACGACTGTTTACGTAATCACATTTATTTAGTGTGATCAGGAGAGAAAGGAAACACTGGAGGAGATGCAAGTTTGAAATTATGCAAGGTGAAACTGTGTAGGATGTCAGTTGTTGAAATGGACTGTTGTACTTAAACTTGAGCGAGAACATAAAGTCGTGTTGTGAGGAGTGACTTTGAGGAATCTTAACGGTCTTTGATTGGAAATGCAGTGATTTTATCATCATTATCTGTGACTGAAATAGCTGTAATTTCATTGCCTACTGATGTGAAAGTGAGCAAAAAGACCCCTCAGAGCATCATTTGACATTCCACCACCGCCGCCGCCCTCAAGCACGCGCTCATCCAGTCTTCCTTCTTATTTCGTTATCATCTTTATTTCTTCCTCCTCCATGGCTTTTTATCTCTGACTGAGTAACATACAGACTTGGTGAATGTTGGTAATGGGGGAATGGTGCGGAGGAAATGTTAAAAAAAATGAAATTGGGTGGAGGGGCGGGGGAGTGTAAACAAGAGGATAACCAAGGGAAACATAACAGATTGCAACTCGCTGATCTGAGCAAAGATGAAACGATGCCTCTAAGTACATACTCCATGTAAAGAAATGAAAATCAAATACATTTTTTACTCTCCATTAAAACGAGCTTATTCCAAGGTTTGATAATGAGATAAGAGAAAAGAATATGAGAGAAAAAGAGAAGAGAAAGGGGGAAAGTGATGGACACAACGCTATAATAACTATCTGTGTTCTGTTTTTGTCAATTCTGTCTGCAAGTTCAGCAAAGAAAAATATATGGAAACCAATTCATCTCTGCATTGAAGTCAATATTTTTCAATGAGATTTTCACGTTGATGTCTTCACCATGACCTAAAGCTAGCATGCAAAGCTGTATGCATTCTGTTGTACATGATGCTCTGTATCAAAATATTTAGACATTCAAAAATATATTTAATCTCTTGCAAAGGAAATGCATACTAGGAGCTTTAGCAGCCCAACAGGTATAAGATTGTAGTGCCCTTTTGTGCACAGAATTGTAATTGCTTTGCTGGAATTAATAATATATGTGTACACAGTCTACTTACAGTATTAAGAGGATTAAGCACTATAACAGTGGGATCAGTGCAACAGGTTGTTATGCTTAGTCCAGTCACATAGTCACATATCAGTGATACCATTTTGAGTCTTCAAGGAGTCCCTCAACACTCAGTGTCCCAAAATTCTGACACAAAATTCAGTGTTGTTTAAGCACTTTTTTAGCATAATGGCTACTATCCTAGAAAAAGAAAGTGTGCACTGTTGTTTACCCTTTTTATCACTGCAGAAAGCAGTACTTCAGAATTCATATACTATGTGATATGTTTATGTTTAGCACATTTATTGACTGTAAAGCCTGCCATGTTTTTTTATTACGTGTTTTTTGTTTGTTTTCTGTGATCAGACATTTACAGAATAGAAACCTAATGTTATTAGATTAATATTTTTTTCCTTTGACTGTATTAATTCACATCAACATTAACTTGTTCAAGTATTCATGCAATCTTTTGTCTCAAAACTCTAAGAAATAACACACATTTTGTTAACATCAGTCAGCCAAAACATCAAAACCACAAACAGACAGGTGAAGTGAATAATCTGCCACCTTGTTAAAATACTACTCTGGCTATTCTCCTCTGGTATTAGCAAGGCATTTTTGCTCTAAGAACCTTAGGCCCTGATAATTAGATTTTATGATTTTTTATTTTCATACGTACAACTACTGTTACAAAGGAAATGTTCTGCGGTGGCCATGATACTCCATGATACACAGAAGGACAGTGCAACACAACAAATCACAAAAACTGCTCAGCAACAGAGCTGCAGTCATTGTCAAACTTCCCAAATCACAATGCAACAGCATCACAGCAATCCGCAGGGCCCAACGGATCTGCTGCGAACATCCCAGCAGATCCCAGCTGTATCCATGCCCCGAAGGGGCCGAACTGTTTTGGCAGTATAAGAGCAAACAAGGATGTGGTTTTTATGTCATAGCTGAACAGTATACGTTCATTAAGTGAAGGAAGATGCCATCTTTTGACATAATGTGAAGCTAGATACTAAGCTTTGCCTCTAATCTGTATTATGAAACATAGATCTCAGACATTGGGTTTGATAATGCCTGCTGTCAATGTTGCCTCTTACTATGATATTACATCATGTTCTTAGATCTTCAGCAGACTGAGCTCTTTCATGTTATTATAAGTTCTGCAAGAGGAAAAAACAAAAAAAAGAAAAAACAGTGAAATCTAACAATTTCTTTCTAAAAAAAAAAAAAAAAAGTTATTTCTTCTAAATACTTTGTATTTAGGTAAAGACGATGACCAAATACTTTTGTTCCAGTCAAATCCTGCTTTGACCTTGTCCAAGCGCCAAAACCTAAGACTTGACTGGCTCCCTCAACTCTTATGACCCACTGTAAGAGTTGGAGGTCTGACTACAGGCTATCTCAATCGTCAGCGCTCACAAGGTCCAACTGAGTTTAGAGGACAGGAATGATCCTAACAATGTACTCACGGATGTAGTCATTAGTCTCCTGCACAGTGTCAGTCTTCAGGAGGTTGTCAGCCAACATAAAAGCCCCGGTCTCCACGGTGTCGAGGAGCAGGGTAGCCGAATGAAGCTGCTCACTGGTGGGCAGTTCTCGCCACGCTTTCTCAGCTCGTGGATGCAACAAATTATTCACGGTCTCCACCATGGCCTGGGGCAGCAGCAGAGACACAGAGGTCACAAAGAGGAAACGAACATATTTACCACTTATTTATTAAAGGAATGCAAATCCACTCGTGGTGCAAATAACACTGCTACACACCAACTACTGAAGTCAGCTGAATGCATCAGCGAGAATGCAGTTGATTTTCATTTATCATGTTAATAAATCATGATAATCAAGACCAAAAAACTGTTAGCAATGCAAATGTGGCATTCCCATGCAGACACAACAAAGACAAAAACAGTTATTAAATCTAAAGTACATCTTCAAAGTTGAACTCTACACTTTTTAATGTTTATTACACCCTTTTCTTCTCTTTGTGTGAGGATGCTGTGATAGAAAAGCCATCACAGATGTTATGAAAATCAAGCTAAGCTAATTAGCTGATTGCAATCACCATGTGTCGACACCCCCAAACCGGGTTCAGTTTCTTTCTCCCTTTCTGCATTTTCTTTTTTTCACCCAAAGTCTTATCTTCAAGTTTGAAAACTTGTGCTTGAGGGTCTGAGAAGAAATTAGAGTTTTATCAGATAATGCCTGCTGGGTCATATCCAGCTGTGCAGAACGGGTTTGAATCCAAAAATATGACCAAATTAAACGGAAAAGTGTTGGCTCACATAGATGAAATGTTCCCCATAAAACAATGCTTATTTTGTCTCCAGCTCATACTTTTTTTTTTTGTTATGCTTTTAAGAGTTCACCTCCTTATTTTCAGACATGAACGCCACACATACAGCGCAGACACGCACACACATCTTAGAAGACTCTGGGAGAGATAAAGAAACAAAAGAGAAAAGAGAGCTGGAGCAGAGGTGGATAGGAAGGGGAGGGCCATGTGAGAGTGATAAAACAGTCCAGTGAGTCCATGGTGACAGGCCTCCACTGGGAACAAGAGAGGTGGAAAAGCGACTACGGGTACTATCAAACACACACACCTCACACTCCGGTCTGTCTCTTTATTTTCTCTTTCGCTCGCTCTGTAAACCAGCCTTTCTGCAAAGAAACCCCTTGCTCTTCCTTCACTCTTTCAATGCTCCTCTCTCTTGAGAAGCGTGGATGGCAAAGTGGGAAAAGTAACACAGGTGCGATTATACAAGCTAAGGGGGACTTCAGCGGGGAATTGCAAGGGCAGGGAGGAAGAGTGAAAGACATCAGTTTATTGGCATTCACACATCCAGCGTTTGACTTCCTTTTTGTCCCTTTCACTCAGGGTTAAGGAGAAGTGAGGGAGCAGGAAGGAGGAGAAGAGACAGAAGCAGTAAACGATGTGTTTTGTGTGCGCGGTGGATAAGTAAAGCCTAAAGAAACAGTGGAGATGATGACTCATGCGAGTGTTGATGGCATGCGCTACAAAACACTTGCCTTTTTGAATTAAAACTAATCCTACCTGTTGTTTCTTTATCCACGTGTAGTTACAGTATATCTCACGCAAGAAAAACTGGTGCTTAGCCAACAAACTAATATGATAATATTATGTCCTCTTTTAGCACTAGCAGTTAATTAGCTGGGATGCATATTGAATGAGTTTGGGAGGGCTACATGTAAACAAGAACTAATTAATCCACTGCTTCGGCAAACAACCAGAATAAGCAGGAGAGGATATGCAGCACACACGCAAAACATACAAACCAGTATCCAAAAGAAAAAAAGTTGGTTCACTGTGTAAAACGCAAATAAAAACAGAATGTAATAATTTGCAGATCACTTCAAATCTGTATTTAATTTAAAGTAACACAAAGAGAACATGTTAAATATTGGAGCTGAAAACGTTTCATGATGTTCTTTTTAAAAAAATAAATACTCATTTTGAATGTCAACAACTAGTAAAAAAAAAAATGGACGAGAGCAAAAGAAGACAGGAAATGTGAAGCAGCTGATCAGGTTTATGAGTAACACGATTAGGCAAAAAAAAAAGTGCCCTAGAGAATAAGACATGATGTATTAAGACTTTTTTTTTTTTTAAGGGAAGGCCAATTCAGCAAAACAAAAACTTGAAAAATACAACAAAGGAGGATCTGAATCGTGAGGTAGCAGAAATAATTTATCAAGCAAGACAGGCAAACGTTTTATTTTCAAAGCAGGTACTGCTTTTGTCATTTCCCAAATGTTTACAGTGTTAAGAACAAGCGATTTAACAATGCTAAATTGGTGACATCAAATAAAAATTGAACCTATACATAACAAAAACTAAATACATTTTTTAGACTCAACCATTGTCACGCTGTCTTGCAAATCGTTTGATTCACATTGTGCACGTCATCTGTGTAAACCAGCAAATGTATTTCTATATCCACTCATTGATACTTTGACAAGAAACTACAAGCTTCAGTTTCTTTCAAAGAGAAATTTCTTAGTTATTTTGCCCATTAATTCCCATTAGTTATGAAATCCACATTTAAGACATTAAAGTATTAAAATCTGGTACCAACCAGATGGGGAAAAACACCAGCAGTCAACTAAATGATTATGATGCTGATTATAATCAAGCTAATACCGAGACGATTAACTCGTTGTCAGCAAGTAGTTCAATAATCAATGAATCATTCGAGCCATTTTTTGAAGCAAAACATTCTTTGGTTTCAGCTTTTCAGTTTTTCACACTTGTACACTTTTCTAACATTTTAAAATGTTATTACTTTGTTAATTAAATGATTAATCTTAAAATTGTTGGATACTTGCAAATATCGACAGATAGACCCTTCAAACATCTCTCAGTGATTAGACTCTTCCTTTTTGGAGAGCATATCTAAAACAGCAGGGACAAAAATGTTAAAAATGCATGTGCATTGTGCAAACAAAAATCAGATGCACTTCTATCTTACACTAAGCATTGTGGTCATAGCTAAAGCAGGAAGTTTTCTTTCCCGAGTGTATTCTTCCCGCTCCATCTGACTTCTTTTTAGGGATACTGCCATGATCTGCAACAAACTACCTTAGCATATCCACAGAAACGATATTTGAAATTTCATGCATCAATCCATCCATTTTCTTATTTAACCTCCTGAGACCCGAACTCTTTCATGGCATGCATTTTCAATTTCTCTTTGCTATTTGGGCTGATTGGGACCTGATGAATGTAAAAACAAAGAATTACCAGATTTTTTTTTTTTTAACCTGATTTTGTCTCTGAGAAAAATGAGATCCACATATGAGGACATTCGTTTTATATTTTGATAGAACAGTGCCAGCATAATGTCCTCGTAAGTGGACATCAGGCCCTTGCAGAGCAAAATGTAGTATTTTGGTCTAGACAATCCAAAATGTGATGTCCACATATGTGGACGCCAGGTCCTAGGAGGTTAATAACTTTGTTAGTTATTTCTGTGATTGATTTTATACTTTGCTATTTACTTTTGCCTATTTGTATTATTTTCTATCGCATCTGTTGTTGGGTAAGAGGCGGGGTACACCCGGAACAGGCAGGGCGAGCACAGAGGAGTCAGTCACACTCACATTCACACATTCACACCGATTTAGAATCACAGATTAACCTTAGGATATCATTGGACTGTGGACGAAAGCCAGAATAGCTGGAGAGAACCCATGGAGGCACAGGTGGAAACATACTGTCCCCACAGAAAGGCCCCAGCTTGGATTTAAACCCATTACATTCTTGCTGTGAGGTGACAGTGCTAACCACCACACTGCTGTGCTGCCCCGGCAGCAAAACCATGCAATGAAGTTTGTTTACAATCAGAATTTTATGTGATCTGTGCTTTATGAGAAAAGGATTTTTAACTTCTTCAGCTGCCTTATTGTCGCATCGAGTCTGGGAACGTGTATGTGCATATCTCATAAATATATGGTGTAGAAACATATTAAAAGGGACTGAGATACATGCTGCATGTAACGTATGTGTTCTCATGGCTGTGTGTTCAGTTGAGTGTGTGCACAAGTAGCTAAGAGAAGACTTGTAGTGCATCATTCTGCTCCACTTGCTGTACAGTAGCCGAACAGGCAAAGAGAGATGCTCAGTGGAGAGGATGTCCTGTAGACATGGCAGATATGAATGCAATGGCGCAGCTTTTCATTCATTCACGCGACTGGTGCTTCTCCCAACCGCTCACTTTGATGTGTTTCAGATAACCCCATTTTTCTACTCTCATTAAACTTTCCATTGCTTTTTATTGAACTTTTGATTATCGTGCATTTTCAATTTCATATAATTTTTTTTTCAATGAAATTTAATTTAATTCGCTGGCACCGAGATTATATCTGAAGAGGAGAAAGATAGGTAAGGAGAAGAAGGGGTATGATTTCCTTGAGGTCCAGACATCTCAGCATCAGAAAGTCAGAGATGGAATATATGCTTGGGTGCGCGCGTGTGCGTGCGTGTGCGCGCCTGTAAGCTCTGGTGACATTTCTATCCGCACAAGTATAAGGACTTGAGGGCTAAAATAGAGACAGGTTTTTTTAGGGGTCTTCAAAGAGGGGAGAGACTCTGCAGAGACAGATAAGAGTGTCATTCGTTTGTGTGTGTATGAGTGAATGTGTGCGTGTGTGAGGCCACGTATTTGCAGGGTAGGTGAGTGCATGCGTGCACACATATACACAGCACGCATGCACGTACTCACATGCACACACCAGTAAATGGGGCAGAAGCGAAATGCTTTGAAGCGTTGGGGTAATCCAGCGTAAACAGCAGCAGCAAGACAGACTAGAGCTGGGTTGGTCTCCTACTCCGAGCTACACAAGGGGATCGTGAGCACACGCTCGAGCGCGTGCACGTGGATGTACAGTATGTGCACACTCATGCACGGTAACATGTAACCTGAAAGAGTTAGGACGTCTTGAAGCACGGAAAGATGTGAGACTAGAGAAAAGAATGGAATTTTTTTTTTTCCCCTTTTACTCGCTTGGATGAGCTCTGAGAAGGTGCATGTTTTGAAAATGTTTTCATCAGAGAAGCAGGCTTATCTGTCAGTTGTTGTTTGAGTTTGTCTTCCCTGACAGGATGAGTTTGCAGCTAAATCAGGCTTTAAATTCACAGCATGCCATGTTCTGACCTGCCATCCATAAATGGAGGGCAAATTAGACATTGTCATTGAGCATCGCTGTCTTCTCACTGCCCCCTTCATTGTTTGGGGTTTGTTTTTTTTCTCTTTTCCTCACATTGCTGTTTCTGTAACTCTCTTCTCTTTTTCTGTTTAATTTCTGGTCCCTCCTTCCCTGTTTCTCATTTCCCTTCTACCTTACAGACTCTACCCCCCTCCATCAATCCACCCTAAAGCATCAAAGCCTCTCCACACCACCAACTTCATCATGAATAAATTGCCAATTTAGTATACATGAAACGAGTCCCCAGTTCCCCAAACGAAGTGAGAGAGGAGGAGAGATGGAGTGTGAGAGTGAGAGCAGAGGAGAGAGAGCGACAGAGAGAGAAAGAAAAGGAGAGAGAGAATTCAATTATTTTTTGTCTCTATTAAGAACCCAAACCTCCTGCCCACTCTCCTCACTTGGCAATTAGTGCTGTAGATAATTAACGAGAAGAGGGCAGCACCACACCACATCCCTAATCACGCGCATTTCTATCTGGCAGAGTAAGGGACTGTTGGTATAATTTTGTTTCACATTACTAAGGCTAATTATATAATCGATCACTCCCAGCCCCCTGCAGAACCCAAAGTGTGTGGTGGTTTTGATTTTAACCTGTAACAAGTTGTCTAAATGGTGCCGCTCTCTGAAACATGGCACTTGCATTGGATTAAGGAGACACATCAAAAAGTCTGACGGTTGTGATGTGACAGCACAAGATCATTGTTGAAAATATATTTATATAGTGTGTGTGCGTGCGTGTGTGAGTTGTGTGTGTCAGCTTGCATATAGTCCTAAACCATGTTCTGTGATGTGACATTGCTGACTGGTGCTGACGTTAAGACTTTTCAGGGGGAGAGTGGGAAAAAAGCCTGCATCAGGAGAAAAAGAGCTACCCCATCACTAGTGTGTGTGTGTGTGTGTGTGTGTGTGTGTGTGTTTGTCAGGGGTGCCGACAGAGAAAACGAGACTGCAGTCTATCTAGTCTACAGCTCATTGATGAGGAAGGTGGGGTCCTTTTGATGTTCTGAAAAGTGATTTTAGCTGACCAGAAACATGCCTAAATGATGGTAGATTGTTTTGTTAGCGGTGTCGGCCCATGGCGTCAACACATACAAACATCAATACAAGCAGACCAGCAATGAAAACATGAAATGAATACTGAGCCACAAACATAAAGCCTCTATTATTTCTAAGGCAGCGAGGCCGTGATCAACAAATATGCAACAGCATATCCATCATACTCAGTTCTTTCTTTCTGATGCACCAACACAGAGGGCATTTCATTGAATGGAGATGGATAGCGAGTCATTTGGTTTCAGGCGGGCCTGTTTACAATTCTGCAGACAGAACTGCGAAATAGATGAGCTATTATTGATATTGATCATGGCCTCTTATCAGTACTATCGATTCTGACTGCAAGTAAAAAAAATTAAAGCTGAAAACAAAAGAATGTCAGCAAACCCTTTGAGGAGACTAAAACTTTACTGGGAGACACAAGTGGGTAGTCCCCCCTGTTAAAATGGCCGCCCTCTTCAAAGGGTTGGGTTGCAAACCACTGGACAAATGCTGCAGCGTAGAATTCGAATTCTACGCTGCAGCATTGTAATGTGTGATCACATGTACACACGCAAACACAAAAGCTTGCTTGCTAGATTACATGCTGAGCGTTAAAAAGAAAAGAAAAACACGTGGGACTGTGGTGTGGCAAAGTAATCAACCATACCGGGAAACGGAAATACCTGTGCGAAAAACCTGCAGGACCTTTCTCTCTTCTGAAGCTGCAAATTCAAACAATTCAGCTGTTAGCGATATAACACCTCTCAATCATACACACGCGCAGACACACAAAGACAGTTACACCCACTTCATTACTACTGCATGAAAAAGGCTTTGATGGTTAAAATATATTGTTATTCTCCTCATTCGCCTCCTTTTGTCATTCCTTATACTCTAATTGTCTTTCATGCTTTTTCCCCTCTATTCTTCTTCTCCTCTTTTCTTCCAGATTGTCTTAATAATTTCCTCTGTTCCTCCATTTCTCCCCCCCACCCTATTCATTCTGTGCATCTACTGTCAAGTGAATTGATGGCATTAATTACTGTGCCACTCGTGCGTCATTGGTCATATTTGATTTCCAAACAAATATTTGCATAATATGCTAGCGTATTACTCAGTTAGATTTATATGTAATTGGTCCATTATTGAAATCAGGAGGAACACTTTTCCTTTTCAATGGAGGGCTTTTTTCCTCTCTACATATCTAACAGTTAACAGGCCATTTGGTCAACAGCAAAACACAGATTAATTGATTCCACTTACACTTGCTCCAGTATGTATCGACTTCCCACATGTTAATGAATTACTTAGAGGAAGGAGAAGAGATTTAAAGTGTGTGATAGTGAGACAATAAGAGGTAAATGGGGAAAAGCGGAAGACAACACCGACAGAGGGACTCGGATGCTAAAGCTAAATAAAAAAGGCAGTGGCTGCCAAAGCGGTGGCAGCAGCTGTCAGTCCGGTGGCTAAACCCCGCCTATCACCGTTGACCTCAGCAGAGACAATCAAGAAACAGTCCAGCATCCACTCAATCAGTCAATTAGCCAGCCAAGCCAGCCAGTCAACCATTCCCCCGTGATTTAACACACTTTAATTGAATGCCTACATGCCTGCATGGTGCAGAACTAAATTTATCTACAGCCATAACAAAACAGATCCTTTGCATACTTGGAATCGAGTTTCCATTAATGTAATCCCAAAGTGAGCGCTCGAGCCTAATTGTCAACAACGTCTTCGGAGTTATAGCTCAAAGCCTGAAGTTCATTAGAACAACGAGCTACGGCGTAAAACATGTCCGTATGTTTTAATGAGAATAACTCCTCGTGGCCTGAGATGGACTTTTATTAAATTTGGGTCTTGCTCTGAAAAGAGTTCAGGAACTATGCCAAAGACTAAAAGCAGTTATCTATCAGCCATAATGTCGAGCAAAACTTGTTACAAAGAGCCACACACAGAAGAAGATAAAATACTGTCTAAAAGCAGCTATTTATCATTTTGAAATCTACAGCTTTATGTATGGCTCTTCATCAAACTCTGCACGGAGAGACTTTCCTAACCCCTGAGAATGAGCGTAAGGCAAAAATACTAACAACTGTTGCTTTTCATCTTACTGTTAACATCAAAGCCTCCCTCTATCTGCTCCCCTCTCTCTGTCTCCCTCGCTCTCAATTCTCTTTCTCTTAATTTACTTGCCTTTAAACTGCAAAACCCCTCTATCCTAACGCTTGCAAGAAAACGTCGATTTTACTCACTCACTCGCCCTACATTTACCTCTAATTTCTCAAGACAGTACCTTGGTGAGGCTGCGGGCAGCACTGTCCTTGCCCCCAGGGGTGAGATTTCTGAGTTGGACGTCCAGCAGTTCGACTAGTTGGACCATGGCCCGCACTGTAGATGGCACATCGCCAGGATGCAGAAGTCCTTTGGTCTGCTCTGCCAGTTCCCTGGCTACAATTGCTGCCGTCTCGCCCGACCGAAGCTGCATGTCAGAGTGGATGACAGGGTATGGGAAAGTCACAATGTGCAAGAAGAGATGGATGGCAGTAAAGAAAAAAAAAACAAATAAAACAAAAAGGTGAGAAGTAAAGGGAAAGTTTGAGAAAGTAGAAAAAGTTTGTGAGGGCATTACAAGTACACAGTGAGACAGAGGAAAAGGCAACAACGGATGGAGAAGTAACAGGAGGGGGGAGGACGGATCGGCAGGGAAGAGATGTATGTGCAAAAGAGTGGAAGTTGAAAAAGACACAAGGAATAGAAAAAATAATACATTTGCAATATACTAAGCATATACTAAGCTAAGCATTATGTTATAGAGAGAACTCCTGTTTTAGCACCTCAGATTTTCTCTGTTTTGTCATAAAAAATGGGGCAGCAAAAGTATAAGTAAGTACCAAACGCATTTTCCATAAAAAAATAATGCACTGTATGTAAATAAGCCTATCATGAGGTCTGCTACCCTTTTAAGATAAGAGCCCACTGTGAATTAGGGATGCTATTGAACATTTCCTCTTTCCTACAGCTATGGCATATCCCTCAAATCTCTAACACGAGTTAGGGTTAACAAATGAGGATGGATACATGGCCTAAATCTTTCCCTGTGACCAGTGCCCCTTCATGCATGAGAAAAATTGCTCCAGAACTATGTTCATCATGCGCTAAGCTTAAACCGGGGCTTGATAGGAGCCACGAGGTCTGGGGGTAGCTTTCAGACTTACTTTCTGCATGATGTGGTTGACCCAAGGTGACGTGCAATTGCTGAGGTCAGGGCCTTGGGTATCCCAGTGGCCCAAATGAGCTACGCACATGTATGTAGCCACGCCTGCAAGATAAGCAAAGGGAAGATAATATGACAGCGCTGACATTCACAAGGAGAAAGGAAGACTCTTGAGCTCCTTAGGGTTCGCTAAGCATTTTGTGTTTGCCTGTGTGTGTGTAATTGGTGAATCATTACTGATGTGTGTATTAACTGACCCAAACACGAATATTTGTCCTGACAAAGTGTTGTGTATGTGTGTGAGTGTTATATCATTTTTCCAATAATTACTTGGTAGGAGAAAAAACAAAAAAAAGTAATATATAGATTATTCACACACACTGTTACCATGTATAACTGTTTATGCGATAGAAACTATTTGGCCTCCTTACCCAGTGTCCCTACAGGGCACGGCTGTTTGGCCGTCTGGCCCTGCTGTGTGCGAGGCCACGATATGTCGGCTGTCACTACTGGATTACAGAAGTCTTGAGGAGGGAGGATTGGGGGCTGTGGGGGTGCTGGAGGGACTTGCACTGGAGGGGATCGACCCCCAACTTTCTGATTGGTGTCAGGAATCTGATTGCTGTCAGACGATGAACCTCCAGGAGGAACCAGAATGGGCTGGCGGACAGTGGTGGTTGTTCGATACCGCTGACCAGGGGATGTAGTCAGTAGAGGCCTTGGAGTGGTGTAGGAGGGGGGAGACCGTGTGGTGGTGGCAGCACGGCTGGTAGATGAAGAGGAACCTCCCCCACCAATTGGTCCCCCTCCTCGGTTTGGGGGGATTATGGGAGGCGGGCGAAAATCTAGGAGAGAGGAGACTCTGGTTAAATTCACAAAAACACACAAAGCATGAGTTCTTCAACGAAAAGCCAGAAGGAAAAATATGTGCTGTGCACATTTGTGGATCCCCACAGTATTAGATTACAGGTGGTTTTGTGAGCCCTGGAGGCTTCAAGGTTCATCCATGGGATAAAAAACATAAGATGTACAGTGTTAAAAGACCCATCCGCATTAGCACCAAATGATTCGAGCAATCAAATAAGCATAAATAATGTAGCAACGGACACAAACACATTGCAGGGATTTGTTTACACGGTGCCAAATAGCTTTGACAGGGAGTAGCTCATGTTTCTGATGACTTCCCAATGTTAGTGTTTCATCCTTGTCAGTGCGGTCATGCGCCAGATCTTTGTGGGGTCGTTTCCTACTATCGAGTCCTATTTATTACCATCAATTGCAGGACATGTTTCTAAACAGTTCAGCCAACAACACTTATAACAGAACAAACTTGAACGTGTGTGGCAAAGTTGGGTTTGTGAAAAAGTTTCAGTGTATAAACTGCAACTCTCCAGCTCAAAGCAAGACCAGTGATTGGTTTTTCCCTGCATCTGTGTTTCCTTTGGGGAAACTAATGGTTCTTGCTGCTTAACCTGGCAGAAAAAACATTCTTTCAGTGGCATGCATAATTCATAGCACTATGACATCACAAGAGGTAGGAAGGCCACTTAAATGCATACGGCACACACTTTTATTGTCAATATTTAATTGTAAAGAGGTTCAATTATTCACATTGACCCTGTTTAGGGGACAGAAATAAAGAATGAATGGATGAGATGATGGGAAGCGTACAGTATGTTGGTGAAGTGTCTGTGCCATCGTGGATGCAGAGGCTGTACCAGTCTGTCTCACTCTCTTTGCAAGATCAGTCTTGCACGATTAAAAAACGATATGAAGAAATGAACAATTTTTTAATTTGATTAACAGTTAAATACCGTACACTGGAGGAGACTAGTCTCTAAAGCTTAATTGTTACTTGCCTTTTACAAAAGCACAGATTAGTCTCATCCGCCGCACATTTACTATACAGCTGAGCATATTTGTATATGTAAAATATACACAAGAGCACTTTTTAGAAGATTGTAATTACAGACATCTGTCTATTAAGTTTACATATTCCACATTATGTGAGTTGCCTTGTCTCCAAACGACACTGTAATAATTTAATAATATTGCACTTTTGCACCTGGTATTTTTAGATTCAGCTACAACTTAGTTACTAAACAAAAATCAATAGAAGATTCTAAAAATGTGTTCTGGCTTCACCCTGCTATTCAAATCCCACAGTGTGTGACACGCAAACACACACAGCACAGATCACAAGGCAACTCAAATATGAACTCTTCAATTTCACGTTATGCTACTTTCTTCCACACAAATATGTATTTTCTAATCTTTCTCTTCTGAGTCAGCTTGTAGACTTTTTTTTTAAACACACAAAGCAATGATAACCAAAAAGCTGTTTAGAGAAGACTGAGCTGCACGTGCCTTCAAACATTTCGTATTTCTGATTTCTGGTTAACAGGGTTCTTTAAAAATTTCCCGTTTAAAAAATAATAACAATAAGCCTAAAAACTGCCTTCGTGCTAAAATGATTGATTTCAAATTTTTCAGGAGACTTGTGTTTCTCATTGGCTTGCCTTAGGTCATAATACGTATTACACGGTGGTCACTGACACTGTAGGGTTGCAGATGTTTCACTGAAGACGTGCAAGTCTGACATGAGCCTAAATATAACTCCACACGTGTGTGTGTGTGGCAGCTGTTTAGCTCTTACTGATTTTAATTTCACATTAATTTTCCACTGATTTGAATTAGACAGTGAACCTACGCGATAGACGTAATAACAAGTGAAACAACCCATTAAGTTATAAATGGACTGTGGAAAAAATTTGCTTTACTTTTTGCATTGTTTTAATAAATGTTGTCTATTTTAATTTGTTCCTTGTTTTTGGGTAGGGGGGTTTGTTGGGTAGATGTGAGTGGAGAATAAAGTGCGAGTGTGTGGGTTGTTGTTGAATGGAGTGGGTGTTTACATTGTTTCCTGTGAACTAAAGTTGTCCCTTCCTGTGGATTTTTTTTCTTTCTCACTTTAATTAAAAGACACCGGGCTGTGCTTCTCTCCATCATTCTGTCTTCCTCCCTTTCTGTCTGTCTGCTTGACTGACAGCCATCTTACATCCCGCTCCTCCTGTACGTTCTGTTCTGTTCCTTCACAACTCAATGGAGTGTTTCCGTACCTAAACTGTGCTGCTCCCCGTTCCTGAATCACTGCCGCCCTGCCTCATGCATTCTCCACGGAACATTGCCATCAATCATGCGTGGCGGCAGTGGCCTAGGGACTAGCTGTCAATCTGCGTGTGTTTGTATGAGTGTGTGTACTTATGAAGCAGAGACAGAGTATGTGTGTGTGCCTATCTGGACTCAAACGGGAAGCTCCATTAGGGCCTGTGCCACAACAATAGAAGAGTAATGGTGTGTGTGCATGTGTGCGTGTGCGTGACTGAGGTTGATGTCTGCTGTCATTCCAGTACAGGGCAGCAAACACACTGGCTGGCAGCTCTGGGTGAGGTAACACAAAAGTCTGCAAGCATCATAGCTAAGGGGCCACAGCACATCGCTCTCTATCTCTCTTCCTTCCTTCCTTTCTTCCTTCCTTCCTTCCTCAGCTGTTCTTTTAACATTTTTCACCCGATCTTATCTCTCACTCATAACTTTCTTCCACTATCTGAGACATCTTGTAGCCTTTCTCAGCACTACTTTAAATGTGCACTGCACTATGTTTTCTTATTTTTTTAGTTTTCTCCTCCTTTTCCTTGTTGTTTTGCAGCATTTTGGCTAAAAACGACATTCTAATGCTATGAATTCATCACCGCCATCACTCAGGATGCTGTGTAAGAGACCGTAGGGAACTATAGGAGCATGACATAACAGGTCCATGAAACATTTATGAAGAAAGAAGGCTAGAGGTTGCAGTTGTGGGGACTGACATATCTCCCCGCATCGAAACCGAGGGAACCTTGAGGAAATGTGCCGTGACAACTTCATGATGTCAGCTAACCTAAACACTATGCTCTTTGCCAAAACTGGTGCCACAAAAACACGCTGACAAATTTAGTACAAGCTCGTCACTTAAGGATTTTGCACGTATCTAAGCCTTGCACATGCTTGTGGGTGACATATTTTAACACATATATATTTTTAGGGCAAACCTGAGTCACTACCTTACCTGCCTTTGCATACCAGGAGATGAAAAATGGCCATTGTGCAAAAGAAACAAGATTTTCTTCAGCGTCTTAAACTGACCAATTTGCTGATGCCTGGTCTGCAATCGCTCCTTTTTTAAATTGAATTAACTTTCTTTAAATCAGTCATTCAAATAATACATATTTGTGCAACAATGCGATTACAGTTGCACTGATGAATAAGATCAAATAATTGCCGAGCTCTAATCTCATTCAATTCTACTGTGCAAACTCCATCTGATGAGGAAGCTCGCGTAATATAACTGAAAGCAACAGATCAGTTACTAATGGACCCAGTGGGCTCGTAGTTCTGCTCTCTGTTGCTTCCTCGGACAAGAATAAACACTTAATCTCAGAAGTGCCTGAAATGCATCTACACTTTCATGTCAATTGCCAAACTCCATCTGAAGAACATTTGGTATTCTATTCTATTCTATTCTACTCTATTTGTTTTTCTGACCTGTAGCAAGCCCAGGGGAAGGTGAGACAGAGACAATGGCAGGGTGGCAGTAAACTTGTTCCTGAAGTTGTCATCTGTCACCACACTGGAGGGGCCACAGAGATGCTGTCAGTCAGCCTGGGATGCTAGCACATGATCATCTGACATGCAGACAGGCACTGTGTTTGTGTGTGCGAGTGTGTTTGTGTGTGCCGCGATGTTTTTCTGTGTGGGTAAGACTGCCTGTCGCTGCCTCTGCTCTGTTGCAGAGAATGCTCTTGTTGACTTCTCACTTGGTAAACAGAGGGATCGTAAATCCACAACACAAAAGGTAGAAGGCAGGGAGGAGAGAGGAGAGGGAAAACGAACTTCCCCTGGCAAGTTTCCCACACTGTCAGAAAAAAAATGGCAGACAGGCGGCAAGAAGGAGAGGCAGAGTGAAACGGAAGCAAAGAGGGACTTGAATTAAGGGAGAAGTTTTGCAGAACTTGAATGAAGTGTCTATTACATTATCGAGAATGTGAGACGATTTAGCGAAAATCTACTGCATCCGTGCCCTCACACATGCAAACACTATTCTGAGCAGTGGGGAAGGATGAATCTAGAGGGGTAAAGGCAAAATGAATCTGACTGGGGGCCCAAACGCTTTCTAGGTTTGATGGTAGCACACGCACTAAATGGAACTGCATACAGCGATAACATGCCACCCCTATGGCTGAAGAGCACACACACACATAAAACCAGAGCTTGTGGCGAGTGGCTCAAGTCTGCTGATAAGACAGAATGGAGCACTTCAAAGTAGCGATACTTTCAAGATTAAAAACAAAAAAAACCCCACACATACACAAAAACAACCCCCACTAATAGAGCCTCACTCAAAATGGCTGCCAGGGACCCACACCACGATCTACAGCTAATGCTTCACATGCAGACACATCCCTGCTCAGCCCTGTTGGCTTTCCAGTTGCATAATCATGCCATCCCTCTGCTGAGCTCTAAGGCACCTGCAGCAAGTTTTCCAATTACATGCTTCTTTCTTAATCAGAGGAAGCTCCCTTGTTCAAAGCAAAAAGCTAACGGGACAGACCAAATTGTCTTTTTTAACCCTTTTTTTTTAAGTTTTAAAATATAAAGAATCATCAGCACATTCCTTTAGAGCCTCAATTGCTCCTTTTCCAGGCAGGCTATAAACTTATGTCAGTTATATGAGCACTGCGATGAAAATTTATCTATAAGGCATCTAGTAAAATACAATGAATATATTTGAATGGGAGTTGTTTGC